CTGCAAAAAATCTAGGTTATCTTTTTTCCTAGTGTTGGAAAACAGATTACATTGCCCAGTAAAGGCTGGGCAAGGTAATGTACATTGCTTTGTTTTCTCCTATGCTTTTTAAGCAACCTTTAACCATATGTCCGAGGCCTTAATGAATGCCCTCTCCTTCTCTCGTCACCTTTTGTATTGTCTTTTATTAAAAACAACAGTGTACAAATAAGATACTTCCAATTATATCCCGGTATTTCTCCTGATAGCTGAGTTGCTAGAAAACAATGGCAGATGGACACATACATAAGAATTCCATTAAGCCTTTTTCTGCAATTCTAGTTGCCCTGGGGCTGGAGATATGATGTTCTCCAAGATTAAGCACTGTGAATTTTAGCTCATTGATGCTTGAAAGAGGCTGAGCCTCCTTCCTCATGCAGATAATCCTTACTCTTAAACTGGCTGGATTTTGCAGAGTGACTCTACCTAATGCAAAATCAGTTTTCATGTCTGTATCATTTCCAGGTCAGGCCTACACTCCATGTAATGTAAAATCCTGCCTATCATACTACTCCTGCTCAGTTTCTTTCCCTCTCCAAAGTAAACATTTCTAAATTGAGAGCAGACATCAGCCCTGCACAGCAAGGTTAAAATGGCAGCTTTTTGATTTTTGCCTGCTCCATGGTGAATTGTGAATGTAGTGCTTGTTCATAAGCTTGTGCTTTGAGCCTGAGCACAGGTGTGTAAGAACACAAGGAACATCTGTGCTTCTAGGAAAAAAAAAAATTACAAGGCAGCACAGCTTAAACTGGGGATCAAAACTTACCTTTGTAAGCACAACACAATCCCAACAGAATCTTTGAGGAAAACAGTATTAACTGTGACACTTCTGTGTCTGTTCAGTTGTTCTAGTGCTGCCACTGAAATAACCTGTGGTGATTCTCCAAAGCAATTACTGGCCTCTTAATATAGCAGCGGAATTCTAGCTCCTCTTTGTTCACCAAAGAGGAAAGCATTTGATAGATTAATATATTCTTATTTTTACAATAGTTGCTTTATCCTTTTGCAGCCAGGTGTACTGAATAAAAACAAGGATTAAATTACCAGTATCAGTGCTCCACCTTTCTTAGTGACTCCCCAGCTCCCTAAACTAGTAAAATAACACTGTCAGAAGGAGTCTTTTGAACACTGTCAGGTGCTGTGATACTGTAACTGACTGACTCTAAGAGTGGTGAAATCACAGCAGGCTGAGACAGACCTTGTGGTGAAGTCATTTGCCTTGTCTTAGTCACTGAGAGAAGAAGGAAATCAGAGTCTGGTTGAAGAAAGATAGGGGCAGCTTTAAGGAGAGCTTTAAGCTGTGATGTAGACATGCATTGCAATTTAGAGCATGGAGGATTCATCTTTCCTAACTGGATGAAGTGTAACCTCCTATTTTCATATGCCAGTGGCCAAGCTTTTCAGAACAGCAGCTGTTCCCTAAGCCTTTCTAGGTAGGAGCCAACAGCTTCCCAGGCATCTTGTCCCTGATGTGTGCTGTCCCAAGCTGTCAGTGTCCCCTGCACCCCTGAGTGTGTGGCCAGGTTTCCCCAGCTTTTACAGAGATGGGGTAACTGAAAAGTGTTTTAAAAGATTTTATTCCATTATCAGTCTTGATGAATAGTGAGACACAAGAGATGTAAAACTCACCACCATTCCATCAGAAACCAACCTATTTCCTGGTTACAATACCTTATAAATATTTTTCTGCCTATTAGATTTTGCCACACAATGCTGCTATTACTTCTAACAGCAACCACCTCTATTTTTTCCCCACATAGTCCTGCTAAAATGCATCTTTCACAGGTCTAATTCTCTAAAACATCTAGTCTTTTTGCAAGGCCATATTTTGAAACTTGTTGCAACTTGTTTCTAGTTCAATCTAGTTCCAAACTAAACACACTTTATCTCAGTGTTTGTATACAGATATACAAGACTGTGAACTTTCTATCAGATTTTAAGAATCCTTTACAAGTTCATTTCCCACAGCCTGGCTGTATAAGCAGCACATGGCCCAGGGGCCAAAGGCTGGCAGGGATCAATTTCCTGCTGGGCAGGTCACTCGTAGAACTGGCCACCCACCCTCCACTCTCTAAAGCAAAGCTCCTCCACTTCCATGGTCCTTCTGCAGACAGATGTTTCCAGTTTGCCCCAAGCTATACTGCCATAAAAGCTGATAGGTGAGAGAAAGCAAACCAGACTTCATCTCTCTGGTCCCATTTATAAAACAGGGAACAATCCCACAGTTTACTGAACACAGAAGTCTCTTGACGTACAAAGCCATGTGCTTTTCCTGGCCCACCCACCTGGGTAGAGCTGAAAGTACTCTATTATGTGCTGTTCAATACCTTCCTTTTGTACTGTCACGGTTGGTATTGTTTTAAGCTTGCTTAGGACTGCTAAATTAATATTTGTCAGTGTCCTGGGTGTTTTTTATAAGCATGCTTTTTGGTACTATGGAGTACATTAGAATTGTATCACCAAAGAGCTACAATTTTTTGTTCCTTTATTTTTTCTTTTTAAAGTACTAAAATTTTAAACCTCACTTCTGTTTTACCCTCAGCTGTATCCAAGAATTAAACCTAGACAAAGAAGATTGGCATGAAATAGTATGGAAGCCAGATTCTTAAAGTACTAATCATGGATAACTTACAGCAAAAGAAGTCCATTTTGTGTTGGTTCCAATATCATGAGACTTATTTCAATGACAATGTCATTTGAAAGCTATGAAAAAATGTGCTTTGAAAACAGATGAAGGATTGATGCATTAGCAAATGGATGGGGGCATTGTACAAGATGAAATAATGCTCACAAGCAAATGAAATTCTGCTGCCTTTGGGCAAATCAAGCCATTATGTTCAAGTACCCACCCAGCTGCCTTCAAACAAGGCAGAAGAGAATCTCACTTCTTTTCTGCATTAAATACAAGGACCTTTTGAATTTGCCATTGAAGGAATCATCATGAAACAGACAACTCGGCTTTGTCCAAATTTATCCTGAGGCTTTTTCCAGATGGAAGAAATTGAAGTATATGTGCAGCACCCAACTGCTTATTGGTGGAAGCAAAATGTTTGTTAAAAGAAGCTAAAAAATCTGAAGTGCAGCTGAAGAGTGACAACCACATGACCAATCCATTAAGCAATAACTTTTTAAAAAGCTATAGCATCTTATAAATTCTATGTATTCAAAATATCATGTGCTGTAATAGAAATGTAGTTTTAGATTCCTCTTTTGACAATGAGCCTCATGTATTTATTGTATTTTGTATTTGAAGACTAAGTGTAGAAACTTTCTGTAGTCCTTGATAATGTATTTGTTTTATTCTACTTGTTTACTTCACCATTAAACTTTTGTCTCCTCTTAAGCTTTAACTCTGGGTATTTTAACAGTGATTTTTATTAGAAATGTTTCCAGTAAGACACTGTTTTTCTACATTACACTAACTTTCAGCTACTTTCTGTGTTAAATTGAGCCCCTCCTCCCCCATCAATTCAAGGTAGTTTTTCTGCATTTAAAATTTAGCTGAATCCGTTACTGACGCATTGTTAACTTTAAAAGCTAAGGGACACACTTAATAAAAAAACCCAACTTGGTACAAGTATTTTTCAAATAAAGCCATTCCTATAAAGCCTTTCCTATCCTATCTCTCCATTTGGCAATAATTTGACACTGAACAATATATAACAGAGGAGCAAATAATTCCTTACAGGTATTTAGAAAGTGCCTCACCCTCCAGGCTCATGTTTTCTTACTGCTTTCTGAAAAGGTGCCCATAAGGAATAAATAGTTTGCAAGGATGACACAATTCCTCAGGTGGGGAAACTAAAGGCATCAGCAATTGGCTCACAGCCACAGCCTCTGCTTTCAACAGGCTGGGTGTGGGGTATAGAATATCAATCTCTAAGAAATAAAAAGTGCTTATTTTGAGCAGAAATAACAGTCTGGAAAACTTTATTTCCACTTTGTTGTTGTTGTTGTTAATTTAAATGTTTTCTTGTATTTCAAAGGAAGATAAATAAGGTATAGGAACTCAAGATTCCTCCTGAAAGCATGGGCTTTCTCTTGGAAGAATTTTGTTACCAGCAGCCTCTGGCTCCAGGCACATCAATGCTCACTTTGGTCAAAGATGTACTTGCCACTCAAATTCTTTAAAGAATATTTCACTACGATAGTGCTGGGGCTTGGAACCCCTATCTCTGAGTACAGGTGTTTAGATTTGCAATACTATCTCTGTACTAATTTCAGATATGCAGGATGTTGTTCAAAAAGCACTTTTTAAAACCAGACTGTCAAGCTATAATTAGCTTTTCTTCCTGAAGTCCTGTAAAATGCCTTAAATACAAAGATATTAGCAAAGCAGTGTTTTCAAAACTTGCACTGAGGATTGATACTAAACTAAAGCCTTTTTCCAGAGGCTATATGAGAATAGGTACAGACTGTCAGACCCATAAAAATGAGGTTGCAGGTTCTTCTGTGGAAGTAGAATGCTTTTCTTCTTGCAATTGCGTGCAAAATCTGCTTGCTTTGTATAAGTTAAGGCACATTTATGTTTGGATATTACTTGTATGTAACTTGATTATCTTCACCTGATCATGTTCTTGTTGAGGTCTCAGGCTGATGCCAGTGGCTCAAATGACAGTAAAGCACAGCCACTGTAGCAAAAAAGAGAGGAAAACAAGGTTATATTTAGTAAAAAGTCCTGTAATAAGTATGCATAGCTGCATTTCTAGCATATAGTCAGCCTGTTGCTGACAATATGTGATTTTAGGATCTTTCCTGAGTGATTTAAATTTATGTCTTATTGAAATCAGAGTTTTGGGATTCTTAAGTTCAGAAATAAGTTATGTTCAGGTAATAATGAAGTCAAACACACGTAGGAGGGTACTTTTTTCCAAACTTAGTCCTTTCTATAGGGCACACATGGGTCACAAAGAAGCAGACGTGAGCAAGACTGTCAGTCTTGCCTACACAACTGCACCTACATTTTGCTCTGTTCATAGAAAAAGCAGGGAAGAAGCCAAAATTACTGCTTCTACCAAAAGTGGCTTCTGGTGCAAGTAACTGTGTTAGAGAATATGTTGTGATGTAGGTCCATCTTTAAAAGGTAACCTTTCTAAAGCTACTTACAAGGTAGATAAATCCAGCACAAACGTGAGTTCTTAAAACCAACCATCCTCAGTCAGAATGGAGCAGGACAGACTCAACATACACCCCCACCACTTTTTCCCCAAAAATTAAAACAAATGTTTTAGAGCTAAATGAACTTACATTAACAAGGTTCAATTCTATTGTCCCACTTTTTTCCGTATCCAGTTTTCTAAACATTTCTGCGGTTGGAGAAAGATGAAAGACAAGGGTAAATACAGGAACTAATTTGAAAGTCTTCCCTTTCCTTGTGCTTCAGGATCAATAAGGAATTTAGTCCCAGAATCTAAAACTTGACAATGGCCTACACCCAAATCAGAAAGGGCCACTCCAAAGTCATTGTGCAGGAGCAAGACTGAACATTTTTAATTGTTGCCTAGCATTTTTTAATCAACACAGAGCTGTTTGCAAGGAAGACTGGCTGTGGTTCAGCAGCCTGACCTAAAAGACTGATTCCTGGATCTAGGAGAAGCCAGATTAATATCTCAGGTTTGAATTTGTCCGAGTGCCTTATCCTACTCTTCTGGACAGTTCTGCCTGGACAGTTATCCTGCTGGAATCACAAAGCAGCAGGGTCTGACTGGTTACTAAGAGCGTACTCACTGAACAAGGTTTCGAGCCGAATCAAACAGCGCACAAAGTTGTCAAAGTCAATGACAAGATCCTCATCAGCAAAACGAGCCACAATGACCTGATGTAACTGGCAGTTCAGTTTGAACCCTGAAAATACAATGCCAAGGGTTTAAAAGACTCTGTTTCCAAAGAATCAACATGAGTACAAAACCAAATGCCTGATCTGCGTGGTGGCAGGAGGAGAACACTCCAGAGTGCCCAAAATTCAGTAAGTTAAGATGGGACTGTATGGCTTTGAGCATCTCTCAACCCTGCTTGAAACTGATGGAATCCTACGAAGAAACAGATCAATATAAATACCTGCTGTTTCCAGCGCTCTCCTCATCTCATACGAGTTCATGGTACCTGATCGATCCACATCAATTTCTCTGTAAATTTTCTGCAAAACACAAAACCCAAAGTGAAACCTTGACAATAATGCAGAGCGTGGTTTGGCTTCTGGCAGAAGTGAAACATTTTGAAATGCAGCCTGCATGTTACTTAAAGAACTTTGCAACATTGATCTGAAGGACTTGGTACTTACATCCATTTGTTTAAAAATTGGCTTTAAAAAGTAAGTTTTTTTAATGCAGTAGTCAGAGCAGATAAAGACAAAACCTGGGGGATTACAGATGCACAGTCCCTGCTTTGGGAAAGGTGACTGTGCACATTGTATGGCACAAATCAGTCTACAGCCACTTCTACAAACTGGGGTTGTGTCTTACCTGGTATTTCTGAATCTTTGTCCAGAGAGTGTGGAACTCCTTCAGTCCCAGTTTGCCACTCCCATCATTCTTCTCTGAGTTAAGGAAGTTTCTTCAGGCAGAAGAAAAAAGGGTTTCCTCTCCATCTGCTGGGTTTACTTGCATGGGCAGTTGTGACTTAAAAAAAATTGCAAATAGGAAAGGGATTCAAGTCCTCTCTGAAGGACTCATCCTCTCTCCAGGACTCATCCTATTGAATACACAATTGTTGTCCAAGATTTCTTTCTAAATTAAGATCATTAATTTAAATCATGACCAGTTCACAAGCTCTTTCTGCACCCCTGCTGCAGATCTCTGTCTTTCCACTACAAGTATAAACAAGACAGGATGATTCAGTTTTGTTCTGCATAGTGGGTTCAACACCTGCAGTTACTGGAGCACAAGTCCTGGGTCTGGATTATAAACAGGAAAAGCCACAGCCAAGCCTGCTATTTGGAGACCTTCAGCTCTCGAGCAAACAGCTAACAAAAAAACATGGTCGTGGCACTGTACCCAAAACCTGCCAAGGACTGCCTGTGGACTGCTGTATTTTACACCAAATTATAGAAAAGTATCACCTTGTATTGGTAATTTTCCCTTTTTCCAACTCTGAAATTCAACTCTCACTGCACAGAGAAGCTGAACACAACTATTCTTAGATCTGATCCTTCATCCTACACTTTTGTCTGTATCTCAGGAGTAAAAGCTCCTAATATCCTGCATACTCTCTGCTTCCTGTATGGCATGTCAAAAAAAACCACTGCATTTATGTCCCTCATTTTCCATTTGCTAAGTCCCCCTATGGCTTTGTGATGCTTTTACCAACTCCATCCAGATAACAGAGAGGTGAAACAACCCTACAGCCAAGGCCATCTTCACCATGCTGAGAGCCTTTTCCCAGCACAAACATAATTTTGTACACAGCTAGACCAGAACACCCAACAGCTGGGAAGGCTTCCAAGCAGACTTTTTTTGATTATGGATTTTTCCCATTGCCTGGGATAACACACGTGTGAACAATAACAAGGGAGTGGCTTTCTCAGGGGAATCAGGGTAAAGCCAGCTTCTCCACCTCAGGAGCCATTAGTACACCAGGATGGACCCACCACGGAGAAAAGGCAGCTGCCCTGCTTCAGCACAGGAAGGGAAATATCATCTAGGAAGAGCTTTAAAGGATACATCTAACAGGTCAACCATTATTTTGCATGTCTCAATACTAAAGCCATCAGATTTAATATCTTGGCCTGTAAAGAAAGAGCAAAAGACAGGATTATCACTGAATGCTGTACCACAGGACCTTAATAAATAACTCATGAGCTCTCCACCAGCCTTTATTTGCTTCCAACGGTGCCATCCTTTGAGCTGGGATGTGTCCCCAAGCAAACAGCCTGAGTAGTCTGGTTTGTAGGCATGCTGCAGGAGCAAGAGACAGAGACAAAAGCTTCCCTGCTCTTACTGTCTGCCTGCAAAGTGGACATCTGTGGACAACGTGGACTTCCAGCTTATGGAGGTCAGCAGGAGGTGGCTTCATGAAAGGCTGATCACAAAGCCAAGCTACAGCCCATTGCTGATTACTGGCTGCTGCACACAGACATACACCACAGTCCTGACTACCTGATAAGATTTCACATTGGAAATTAAAGACACAATTATTTCTCCAAGCACTTGTTTCTTGGGCACTGTTTAGTGGGAAGGAAAATAATGCAGAGACAAGCTAGGAATTTCTGCACAGAAAAAGAAGCCCGGAGTTTCAAAGTTTCTCCTCCTCCTCCTTAGGGACACTCCAGACTATTGGCTGGGTTATTGCTTGAATCACTCCTGGGTGGTTCAATACTAAAACAGCAGCAATATCTCTCTTGATTATTATCAAGGATTATTCAAATCCATCCATCTTCCTGGCAGCCAATTCCCAGTGACAGATGCTGGGATAAAAGACACCCATCTGTACCCTGCCAAAGCACACATCCTGTGAAACAGCTTCTGGGCTGGCACAGCCCTAGCATTTCTGCAGCCCCTGAAGCAGCAGAGAGAACACGTGGTCGTGGCCATATGGAGAGCCAAGCAGCAGGTCTGGGGCAGAGCCCAGGCTCTGACCCTGCCCAGGTCAGTGGTGCCCTCTGTGCTCCCATGGCCACAGTGGAAACTTGCTGGTGGCCACCTGAAGCTGCTGGTGGAGGAAAGCACTCACGTTTAGCCAGGATTTTATTCAGGATGCTGCGCAGCTCGAAGGCGGAGATCTCTGCGTCCTGTGGAAAAGACAAAAATAAATTTTCCACCGTGCAGACACCATCTGCAGCTTCTGATTCCTTTGGGCAAGTTGGCCAATTTCTAACACCCCTTGGAGTTCAGTTCCCTTGAATGGAAGCAAATGGGAAGCTCTCCCCACCTCCCATTCCCAGGAGCACCACCAATTCCCAGAGATTAGCACACCCAGCAGCAAGGTGTGCCCGAGGCAAGAGCAGCCCAGGAAGAAGCCCAGCCCAGCCATATGCTCTGCCCAAAGACAGAATTCAGGCCCTGCAGAGATAAAAGTCAAGCCCACAGTTCAAAAGGAACAGAGATTGTTCACCAGCAGCGCTCCCAAATCCGCTGTGGAAGCAGCTGGGTGACTGCACAGGTTTGGGATGCACAATTGTGCTCACACTTGAGAGTTGACTCTGCAAAAGAACTAAACTCAGTCCTGCAGGAGGCATCTCTCTCACCCACTCACCACGATGCCAGTAAGATATTACCAGAAAAACACTCACATTTCCTGCTAGCTGCCCAAAAAGCTTTTTAAAGCTGGGTTCAATGTCATCTTCACTGGTCTCAGTCTAGAAGACAGAAACAGAGAATGTCAAAAGGGGGAAAGTTTCTGCCTGAGAAAGACTTAATGCATTTCCCTGCCCTTAGTAAAAAAATCAAATGTCAAGGTTGAAGGTACAAAGTGTTTTTTACTATGATTTTATTCAGTTTTATATTAGGGGCACCTTAAAATACTGGCATTGTAAATGCTGGAAAAAACACCCACTATACATGGAGTAGCTGCATTAGTAGGCAAAGCATCCCCAGCAAGACTAAACATATGGTGAGCCACTATTTACTCCTGGAAACAGCGTTACATGCAGAAATAGCCCTGCTGCTGCAAGCTGCACTCCTGGAGAACAAAGAGAATTTCCTGTGACTCCAGTTACCTCTTGAGAATGTACCTATGCCTGGGAAGTCCAAGTTCTAGATAAAGGACAACACGTGTTTCCTGATCATTCCTGATGATATTTCCATTTGCTTGACACTCAGCAATGGACATTGAAAGATCTTTTCCCATTTTCCCAAAGTGGGACAACATTTCTTGGTAATGCCTATAGAAAACATCACCCTGCACAGGGAACAGGCACTTCAACCCTCCTTACAACAAAATTATCTCAATTTAAAATATATAATTTGATGTACCTCATCAAAATTGCCTTCAATTTCATCATCTATCACCCTAGAAAGAGAAAGAAATCAATATTAAAATCAAAACAAGTCATGTTTATGATGCTTTTCCTTCAAGCTTCAGTTAAAGTGAGATTCTTTAAAATATGGAAATAACAATGAGCATTCAAAAATTACTGGATTAATCAGCTATGGACACAATATAACACAGTGAAAGCTGTATTTTGCCAGTTATGGCAACAAGAGTTTGAAAAGACAGTACAAACTGTGCAATGCTCTGCAGAGCCGGACAGGATTTTGAGGCTCACATAACTCTTTGAGTCTTTTTTTGCCTACTTAGCAAAGGACCAGGTTCTTGGGTACAAATCAAACTTTGTCTAGGCATTTCTTCTTTAAAACAGAAAAAAAGTAAGAGTCCTAAAGTAATTCTGATGTGCCTCATGCTGTCCCCCAGATGCTGAGGGAGCACCAGACCTACAGATGGTGCCCAAGCACTCCTAAGGGCCCATCAAAAGCTGAATGGGTCCTCACACAACGAACATCCTGGGTTTCCCACTGCTGCAGGAATATGCAGCAAAATATTACAGGATAGAGGAAAGTTTCTGCTTGCTTTGAATCAGGGCAACTCAATAAAAAATACCCCACACCCCTTCCTTAGGCTTTAGCCCAGCTGCTCTTCAAGATGTTACACATCTAAACCTTTTAATTTTAATTAAGTATCAATTGAGATAACAAAAGCAATAAAAGTAACAATAATAATAATAATCTCCCCCATGTACCCACTGCTGTAATATGGTCACCAAAAGCTACCTACGTGGAGTTGGCATTTTTTTCAGAGAAGACTCTGAGGCAGAAGTCCCCATTCTTGTTGGGTTCAAAGGTGGAGGGCACGATGATGTATTCTCCTGCAGGGAGCTTGAACCGGTTCAGCACCTCCCGGAGGTTGATGAAGGTGTTGGATTTTTCCCGGGCTTTGTTGGTCAGGAAGAAATTTTTGCTTAGATGAATATTTGTCTGGCCAGAAAACTTAGGAAAAGCAAAGAAAGGGGAGAAAAACCACTGCAGTTTGCATGTGTTCACATTTACAAATATAAAATACCATAGATATGGCAGTTAGCTATGTCTGGGGAAAAGAAAATAAAAGACAAAAATGTCAGCTTGACAGAACTGAAAAAGAAGAGAAAGGAGGTGGGAGTCCTGAGATGTGGCTGCAAATGTATTTTGCAGATCATTGCAATACATCATTCATGTCATGCTTTTGTTTTGTAGATGATAATGGGTGGCTGAAGACATTGGTAAAATTCTTCCACCTATCATTTTTCTTTAAACTGAGATGGCACATGAGCCATGTCCCTCTGGTCCCCAGAGTTGGTGCCACCTGCAGCTCAGCTCTGCCTCCAAGGTCAGGCTGCCTCAGAGCAGAGTCCACTCATGGAGGGTTCCAAGAATAAAACAAAACAAAATAATAAAATAAAATCATATTTGGAGTGAAACATCTAGTGAACGGTGTCCCTGCCCATGGCAGGAGGTTGGAACTGGGTGATCTTTAAGGTCCCTTCCAACCAAACCATTCTATAATTTTGTGATCTTCCAGAATGAACTATTTTTGCAGAGTCTTACAGGTGGGCCATTTCAGCTTTAGCAGCCAGCTTCAGGAATGTGCATCTTTCAGAAACCTCCTCTTTCCTGTCCCCCAAGATTTTTAATAATGAAAAAAGAATTTTAAAAGCCTGTCAGACCTGCTGCATAGTGGGAGATAAAATTCCACCTTCTAGGGGAAAGAAGAGTCACAGGAGTGCATATAGAATCAGTTTTCTAATGGAAATTTAATATTTGGACCTCTAGGGTGAGTGACAGAGTACTACTAAGGCATTAAAAAAAGTACATAAGAAATTTAATTAACCAGTAGCACAATTTCTTTTCCTGATGGAACCATCCTTTACATAAAAGCCACTGGTTTGGGCACAGCCTCAGGAGTCAAAGGATGCCCCAGCTGCTTTGCACAGACCCTCACAGGAGCAGAAAACCCAGTAATGGGGTTACTCAGGGGTTTTGCTGAGCTCCAGTCCTTCCTCTGAGGAGCAACAGCTAAGAGGTATTGCTGCATTGCCACCCCTCTGTGACCCCCAGGGTGTACTATTGGCTGCCTGAAGGTAGAAACAGAGAGAAACCAAAATAGGTGGTGCTTAGGGAAATGAATAGAAACACCTCCTTGGAATATTATTTATGAATCAAACATGAACTCTGTGCAAACCTGGAAAAAGCAGCTGTGCTCTGAGAGAGGAAGTGTGAGGCTGGGCTGGGAGGAGAGCCACAGAAGAGCTGCTTCAGGGAGTTTCTGCAGCACTGAACACTCTTATCCCAATCCAGGACACTCTAAAATTGCAACACGAGCTCAAGGCCCCATCCAGAATAAATGGCCTCTAACTGTAGACTCTGTGCAGTCATATAGGATGAAGTAGGACCCTCTGAATCTCTTCGTCCCACCAGCAATTGAGCCCCAACTGTGCACCTTGACCACCAACCCATGCCACATACCTCTGGGGGCACCTGCAGGGAGAAAAGGACAGAGTTATTTCCTTGTTGAATGGTGAATGGCACCCCCATCTTCTTTTCACCATTACTTAGCAAGGACATACACATTCTTGAAAAAAAAACAAAACAAAGGAAAACAAAAAAAGACTTGGCTTGAGGGGAAGGTGGGTGTTCAGCCCATATCACCCAAGGCCAAGTGCAGGCTCAGCTCCCTCCTCCATCCCTGAGGCAGGTGAGGTTCACCTGGGGCAGCGTGGACACAGCCACAGCCACAGCCAGGCTGGTTGTGGCTTCCTGTTGAACCTGCTCCCTGCAGCCCACACGATTTTTATTGTAGGCTCAATTTCTCTACTGTTTCTCCCTATCCCCTCTTTCCCTATGCCACTCTGCCCTCTCCATCATCAGGAAAGGGGACGGGGCTAAGCAAACATGATGCAGCTTTTTGTTTCTTTACACCTTCCTTGCTGCAGCTGCTGTCCTACTCAACCCATCTGAATTTTGACAGAAATCCTAGCATAGAAACTGCACTATCCCATTTATAGGGGGAATGATTTTCCCTTTTCCTCCCACACTCCTGTCAGCCTTCCTTGCCTCATAAATGGCAAAGCCAATGGTGTGCATGTCCTCCCCCATCTTCCTCTGCTTCCGACGGTGCTTCTGGATCAGCCCAACGAGGAAAGTGCAGCCCCCCTCAGGATCATCAGGGTCCTCATCTTCCTCCTCCAGCTTGATTAAATACTGAGGATTTGTCCAGAATGTGTCTGGGAAGAGGATTTAAGCAAACTACTCAGAGGCTTCTTTGACATCAACTGTGATGATATTTAAACATGTCAGATATGATAGATGTGGCTCTGATTGCCAAAATCAGCCATGAGAAGAGAAAATCAATGCGCTGTCCTGCTCACCCCAGCCTTTACAACCACAATGGACCCTCACCATGGAGCCACAATTCCCAGACACCCAGACTTTTTGGAGATTAGTCCTAGATATCCCATAAGCCATCCCAAAACATCTCCTGGAAGCTCCCAAATAAAGTAAAAGTGGACAAGTAAAAAATTTCTCCAGTTTTTCTTACCTGGGTAGTTCCTGCAGCCCCCTGCAGTGGCTCCTCGCCTCCAGTTGCCATCCAGCTTCTGCAGGCTCCACTTTTTGTACCTGTCACTTGCCAGGGTGTCTGGAGTCAGGTTGCAGATCTCCAGGCGGGAGTAATGCCTCAGGAAGTCATTGAACGCCATCCTGTGGGAGGCAAGGCCACTGGCAAGGTCTCCTCAGAAGGGTTTTCCATACCCCCACCTTGTCCATCCTCCCTCCCTGTCACTATGACTTAACACTAGGGTTTGGGGTGAATTTTCACACTCATCTTGGAGAGCAAACTGGGAGAGGTTACTTGGCATGAATAAAAGCAGAGCAGCTGACATTCCCTTCTGCTGGAATGGTAACCCAGTGACACTCACCAAAATTCCCCATCTTCGTGTCTCCTGGTCAGTCGCTCCCGCACCTCAGGGTCAACACCACTCCAGTTTGGGCAGCTGGAAGAGAACCCCACATCCATCAACTACAGCCCATGGGAAAAGTGAAACCCTAATGTGGCTGTTCTGGCACAAGATCTAACTTTTAGCAGTTCTAGAATTCTCAAACTACTGCAGAATTAAAAATAGATGCACCTGGCACATAAAATACCTCACTTCTCAAATATCCAAGGTAAGGATGAGAAACAGAGTGTTATTTTTAGAAAGTGCAATGTCTGGACTGAGACAGAAAAAGGAAGAGTCAGAATAAAAACTGCCCAGCCACAGAAGTGCATAAACTCCAGCTTTCATGGCTAACAGTAGAAATGGATTTTTAAAGCCCTTTTAGAAAGTGAGTTTTCAGAAGCTCATAACTGAATCCAGGCTGTTAAATAAGCAGAAACTACAGGGAGCTTTGTAGGATTCACCAACCAAATCACTGCATCTTATACAAAGGCTGCAATTTGCATGAAAAGCATCACATACCGTGATGCCTATCAGGGAGATGACAGTGAGGGCATGCTTCTCTCTGAAATAGTTCCATGTGAACACCACATCCAGACAGGACTTTCAGAGGAATTTCAGGTAGGGAACAGAAAAAGACAGAAGAGACAGAAACACGACTGCACCCCTGCAGTAAAGGGCTAATGGCAACAAGGAAGCCATTGACTCACTTGTCATTCCATTTCCCAGTCCACTCCACTTCTCCCCAGGGATTTCGGATTCTGATCAGCTTCTGCACTGTTCCTCTGAAGTTTACCTGATGGGATCAGAAGTGTATGGAGAATCACCAGGGACTCAGCACCACACTTCCCCCCTCATCCTCTACAGTAATTAAAAACGTGACAGAGCAAGTATCTCGGTGCTAGGCCTGACAACATGCACACATCTGGTCCAAAAAACAAAAGTCCAACTGATTCTGAGTGAGCTTCACACAGCTAAGCTTGTCCAAAGAAGTTTTACAGCATTCACAAACCAAAGCCCATGAAAACCAAAATGTCTTATTTGTGCTGCTAAAAAATCACCTTTGATAGGATAACAAGCAAAGGGAATGTAAAGCTGCTATACAAAAGCCCAAAAGCAGGTACAGAGATATTTCTCAAAGTCATCACTTAGGTATAAATTGTTTCTTCACATTCAAATGCCTTTTTACCCCCCTGCTTATATATAAAAGGAGCCTGTTACAACAGACAGGACACTCAAACTGGCCACAACCCCTCTGACCTCACCAATGCCCCGCAGAGCAGCAGCCTGAGCCCCTCCTCTTATCATCTGCTGGTCTCTGCAGTCCAGAGATGACACCCCAGTTGAACCATCCCTACTGTGTCTGCACAGATCTCCAAAGGAACAGCTTGGCTAAATCATGCCTACTTGTGAATTAAGGTGAACAAACTCCCTCTTCCCTGCTTTTGCTGTGAGAAGACCAAATGCACACCCACAGATCAGAACAGCATATCAGCAGCTCTCTATACCTCACCCTGAACCTTCAAAAATTATTTCAGAAACCATTACCAGTGAACTAACCAAAAATCCACTGCACACATGGAAGGATGCCATGATCTGCTTCATTTGTTTTGTCTTTTCTTCACCAGTCACCCGCTCTTGGGCAGGCCCCTTGTGTTTGAACACCAAGCCCAGCTGAAAGGTGCTGTTCAGCGGCACTTCATGGACAATAATACATGGAGGCTATTTTAGAAGTGCTTGGTCACCAGCAGAGGGTAGCATGCCTTCTGCACAGAGCTGCCCACCACCCTGCTCCATGGGAAATAGCCATGCTTATGGAATAACAGGGGTTTTTTTGGTCAGACACTCAAGAAGGCAAATATGTGTTTATCCAAAACATACCAGCTAATTAAGCACTCCTTCAGAAAGAAGAGACTCAAACCCAAATTCAGCAAAATGGGCGACACTTAAGAATTTGCAGTGTTGAAGATGAGCTTGTGGCTGCCACACACAAAACCTGCTGCACCTCGGGGTGGCACACCTACCTCCTCTGCCCCGGTGACCGAGTACGCGTGTCCCTTCACCAGCTTCTGGGAAGTGACTGCTTCTGTTTCTGCAGCACTGGTGATCTGGAGGGGCAAAAGACATCAGTGATTGCAGCTTCCTATGGGCAGGGGATCCAGCAGAACAAAGCTTCCTGCTCCAACAGAGCTTCCATCTCACTGGGAGGCTGCAGGAGTGGTTTAGCTGCTGCACAAAAGCAGTAAGTGTGGCACAGCAGGGAGAGGGGACAGCAGCACATGTGGTGCTGGAATCCCAGGCAGTTTGCCATGTTTGTGGCACGGGGTGCACACCAGAAGCCTGGCACTGCAGCAAAGTTCCCTCCTGGCTCCAAAACACTCGGTGTGGGGAAGTCACTCTTGTGCACCTCCAAAGGGGATGTACATGAGAAATTCCATATTCTCAAGGGACCAGAAGAAAAACAGGGAGTGACTGGCCTGAGGTTCCACTGGGATCACACTCAGCTCCAGTAAATTTCAGTGTTGAAACACCCCCTGCAGCTCCAAAGCAGGGTGGGAGGTTCCCTTCCCTTTCCCCAGCCCTGCCCCGCTAGGATCTGCCCTGCAGAGCAGCAAGGGAAGAGGCTGAACTTTGGATGCCATTCGTACCTGAAGACACATCCCCCTCAATTTTCACAGCCACTGCTTGGGCAGTCTGGCCTTTAAACACTGCAGAGAAAAGTCACTTCTTGCCAGACAGTGAATGTTTAGCCACCTATGAAACATGTGGCTGTCATTGTCTTTTCACCATTTCAGAAGTGTGTGACCTCGAAACAAGCATATTTGAAGCTTAAACAGAGAGGATTGGATGGAGCAGGCAGAATTCCTGCTGTCAGTTCACGGCCTGTTACTGCCCCACAGCATGCTCTCCATTTAATGCTCAATCTCTGTGTCCCTATTTCTCTTACAGAACAGAAGGAAAGATTTTACAAGGTTTTTTCCCAAAGGATAAACTCAGCAACAATTCATTTACACTACAGAAAGTGCCAGTACTTACCAACAACATGATATATTTGCTCTCCCCCCTACCCACCCAAGGGATTTGTATGAGTCTGGGGCAAAAATCCAGATGTCAGATTCTTATCTAAATGCAAACGAGTAAAACAGGCCTTGAAAATACCCTGAAGTCAAATTGACATTAACCAAGCACTTTTCCTCCTGTAAAGCTTCCCTCTCCTGGGACTCTGATTTATCTTGAAAAATGGGAGGAAACATTTACATTTATATTATGAATGGAGTTTTTGTAAACAATTTACCTTCCCTTTAGACATAACTAAGATGCAATTTCATTCGGGAGGAGGATGATTACCACAATAACAATACTTAGACTCATTTCAGTAAGACTAAAAGCAATGCTGAATACTTGAAGGCAGGGCCAAAGCTCCTCTTTTTCTTTCCCATGTGGGTCCAGTTTCTGACAACGTGTCTTCTCATAAAACCTTTTAAAGGTCTGGCAACAGTCCAAGCCTCACTGCTTCAAGAACAGAGCTCAGATTTTTTGGGAACATTTTAGGAACAACTTGTGCAACAAAAAGGCTGCAGCAAGGATGGACCACCTTGAGCTCCTGACTGCAGGAGCCATTAGCAGCAGCTCTCTGTCCAAACCCTCTCAGCCTGTGCCATCCTGCTGCCAAGATAAGGCTTTCTTAGGAACACCGATGTCTACCAAGACTCCTAACAAGTTCCCTGTGTGATTCATTACCATCAACCTTCTAAAGAGCAAAAGGTCTCATGGAAGAAGCACAAGGGAGGGAATGAGCTTTTTACATGAGCTAATGAAGTTTAGTTTCAGCCTAACCTTCATGAGAGCACATGTCTTGGTCAAATTCTTCAGGCACAGGGTAGAGCAGGGAACCATAGACAGAAGGGACTGGCATGCTGTGTGCAGCTCCATCAGGTGCACCACAGGCCCACCCCAGCCTGTGTGCACAGCAAGAACCCAGAAATAAACCTGCTAACTCACATCAATGGAGCAGCCAAGGAGAGAGCCTTTCTGGAGCGCCTTCTGAATGATCTTGAAGAGGTTGGGGGGTGGCTTCTGCAGCTCATACCATTCTGCAATGCCACCGGTGAAGTCCTCGAAGCCTTCGGTGGTGGTGCCACCAGAGAGGGACTCGTATGAGCCATTCAGCCTGCACAAAATGGGGGACAGGCACAACCATCAGGCTCCCTGTTCTCACACACACACAGCCATCAGGCTCCCTATTCTCCTCTTCCTTCAGGAGAGGCCGTCAGTGTGCCAGCTGTCACAGCATTTCTGCCTTCAGGAGCATTGCAGCAGCTACAAACATGTCCCTCCAGTGAGCTTTGCTTTTAAGATCTCTGTATTTGGAAAGCCCAGTATAAAATATTATCCAATCATAAATACACCTTGCAGGTTCAGTCATATCAATGACAGGAATCATGAACACTATCTGAAGAAAAAAATAATATACATTAAAAAAATTAAGACCAAACAGTTTGTCTTTAAATCCCTTTAACAGTTATCGTCTGATTTTCAGCTGATCTAAATTTCTTAAGTCAATTCACAGTAGTAGATTTAGAGGATAGAATTCCTCTCTGGCCAACCCAAAAAATGGAGATTCAGATATGAACATTGAACACAGACCTGGGCACATGGACTGATGTGCTTTGCACACTGAAGGACTGGCAGCTGCCAAGCCCTCAGAGGTGCATAGAGCACATGAAATGGAGCTTCCCAGGCCCTGGTGACAGAAGGCTGCTCCAGGAACAGCTTCGCCACGAGATGCAAGGGCTACTTTTCTTGGCTAACAACAAATCCAATGCTTTCGGCTCCTTGTCTTGGGCATCGTCAACAAAGCTGTACCAAAGGAGCCATTGCGGGATGCCCCAGAAGCTGCAAAGGCTAATAAGAAGACTGACACTCTGAATGCACAGTATCCATGCAGTTGGGGATGCTGTGGGAAGCAGGGATGTGGAGGGGGGAAGCCTGGCCCCGACTCACTTGGCATAGGCCTTCTCCAGCAGCGCGCTCCAGAACTCGCTGCCCTCCGCCGAGTGCACAAAGAGCAGCTCCCCGTTCTTGGTGGGCAGCCTGTCGTCCACCACCACATCCACCCATTCCCCATACTGCCAGAACTGAGGGAAAGAGCACAAACATCCATCACCACCCCGTGCGCTCCCATCAGCAGCATGTTTATCTTTGAACGTTGGTTTTCCCAGCAAAAAACGATCCCGGTGTCCCAGCCAGCTTCACCCACCCTGTTCAGGGATGCACATAATCAACTGGCTCTGCTTAGGGAGGAAGGACCACAGTGGCAAACCCTGCTCCCAGGTCTTTGATTAATGGCCTTTTTAGATGTGTCCTTTTTTCTGTCTGGCTCTTTGACATCCCACAAAGCCATGCCAGAAAACATCACACATGGATACATAGACAGCCACACTGGCTCCTGCCCAATAGCACTAAGAGGAAAAGGCTGTTTTCCACATACCTGGAAGTGGAAAATTCCTGCATATTTATCCTGGAAGCTCTGGTCTTTGGGAACAACACGGGCCAGAATTTCTTCATTCAGGGTGAGAGATGCAATGGCTGCCAAGAGCCAACAGTCCCCTGTAAAAAGAAAAGGAAAACAAACAAACAAAAAAAACAGACAGCATTCATTATTCAAACTTTAGTTTTTGCACTGCATCAGGATTGTGCATTATAATCAATAATTCCCTCAGCTGGGATAGGATGATCCCTCCCATCACTTTATCTCTGAGACAGATCAAATACCCTCCAGATCCAGGCAAGTGTTTCCTCAAGACCAAAGTCATAAAATAAACTCAAAGCAGGTTTTTTCTGACCCACCACCGCAGTGATCACACATTTTGGCACTGTTTGAAAGAAAACTTAATATTCAATTGAGTGCCTGTATGATAAGAAGAAGCACAGAGAAAAGGCAAAGAACCTGTGGGCACACACGGGTACTTAGGGATGCAGTTTCTCCTCAAAGGTGTTTTCTCAGGCATAGGCTGCATTCTTTTCCCTTCTCCATGTTTGATAAACATGTTCCTTGCTATCCAGAGACCTGTCCTGCAGGCAAGTTTCCTTTAAGGTCTCTTGCCAGCTTCCCTGCAAACAGGAGCTCCTTTCACATCTCTGGAGGCTCTTGCTCGAGGCCTCTCTGTTTAGTCCCATGTCTGGCCTCCAGCACAGTCACTAGAGAGCCAGGAAAAACCTGAAGGCAGACACTGTTTCCCAGTCCCACACACCTCCTCATCCTGCCTGGGATGGAGCCAACAAACACTAGCCCTGCACAGCACAGGCTGCCTGGACAGTGTTTTTCCACACCATCTCCTGCCACACAGAGAGAGGAAGAGACCCCAGCTCTATAAACATTACACCTCTACTTTCTGTAATTCTTTTCAGAGCACAGTTTTACTTTAGCAGAACAGTCACCTTTCTGCTCAGCCATGAGCCTCCTGCAGCCCATTAGTGAGGTGGTCAGAGATTTCCAGAGCCAGATGATGCTCTGACTGCCACAGCCCAACACAAACCTCCTTGTTACCATCCCCAGATCCGCTGTTCCCTTGCTTTGTGAACAGAGGGCAGCCAGTATTGTACATGAGATCCCACAAAACAGCCCTGCAGGACTGCAGCTTCAATGTGTGAACCTGCCACCACCTTGCTGTCAGCAAGCTAGAGGCCAGCAAAGCAGCAGTCCCTACCTCTCTCCCCTAGAAAAAGGCTCAAAAGCTTATGGGTGAGAAGAGGGGATCCAAATGGGACAAAGTCTCAGGGTGAATGAACCCTAAAGCAGTCCTCAAGGTCCACCCTCAGGCCCAAATCCATCAGTGCTCACACAACACCAGCAGGAACATGGACAACCTGCAGCTCCCTCCAGGCTGCCCTCGCTTGGCACAGCTGCCTCCCAGGTCAGCTCTGAGAAATACATCTGTCCCACACATCTTCTCACACCTCAGGAAAGGTGGAAGAGGTGAAATTGCAGAGTAATTTCAAAACCTAAAATGCTTATACTGCTTCACAACCTGGAGGGGAAGAACCGAGCATAAAACTTCCCCTTCAGCCCCGCCTCTGGCTGCTTGTACTGCAATGGAAAAATCAGCATGTCAGACAAGTTTCTAAACAAGAAAGTCACCTTGCTATTCTCCTGCGACAGACTACGAAGCAATGATGCAATTCCCCTCCCTATTCTGTCACAGCACATCCACTTTGCCCTACAAAGTGGTGACTCCTCTCACAGCCTCCTCCAAGGAGCTGAGAACCTCTTCCCTGGGAGCTGCATACAGAGGTAGCACTATGTACTGCAAAGGTGTTTGCTGAGAAAGACAAGGCCAGGAGGAAAGAGTCTGGCTCAGAGGGCAGCTGTCACACCATTCTTCCCAAGAAAAATTAGTATTTTATTCCATACCCAGGGCAGGGGCTGGGCAGGCAGGGAGCAGCACAGGAAGAACAAATGGACCACTCAAATGGCCACAGCAGCTCAGGAAGGCTTGGTCAAGAAGCTGATCAGGCCTCCAGATGATGAACATACACTTCAATGCTGCAACACATCTTTGAGTCATGCTTCCTCTGGAGGTAAGAAGCATGGAAATTCAAGGAGAAACACCCTTCAGAGGACCACCACACCCACAAGGAGAATTTATAAAGAATTTCCTTTGCTTTCTAGCTGTCTCATCAAGGCAGACTGAAATTACAGCATGTTGTAAAATCTCTGTTGAACTTTATACTGGCTTCTAACAAGAATTTGAAGTAAAACACAAATCTTAACTCTGACAGCTCTGGGCAAGGTCTTGAGGTTTAAAGGCAGCTGCAGCATATATGGAAGACAACCTTTGGTTTCCACACTTAAAAGTGCCCAACAGCCAGGATATAATCTCTACCTTTGTGAACAGCCATCACTGTTCACAAAAAGCACACCTGATAATCCAGACTCCAGATGAGAACAGATCTAATGATTATACCTGGAATCTTACCACTAAGCAAGCTTGAGCAAGGTCTTTACCAAATAGCCTGAACATCCAGAACTGGTGCTTCTGCAAGGTTCTTGACAGTGATTTTCCTCTGATAGGGAAGGAAAGCCCAAGGAGAGGCTGACAGACAGTTGTTTAGAGCCTGAAAGGAGTGTTAGCAAGGCTACATTTATCATAAATAATTTTTGTAAATGAACAGTGGGCAGGACAAGGTTATCAGAAAAGGGAGTATTCTCAGGCTGTGAGTTTATCAATAACACATATTAACAAGAAGTACTATTTTTTTGTCCTATCATGCTTACTTTTTCCTGCTTTCAGTGTTTTACTTGTTATTTCCATATACCCATGCCTGCATTTACCTAATCTCCAGCGGTAACAAGAACACTAGGAAAAAAAAAAGTAATTGCAAGGTAAGCATAAATAGCTGTAAGAGCTTAAAATTAGCCATTCTGGAAAGAAAAGGCAAACAAAATACACCCATCAAAATGCCTGAAGGCGTGTAAGCAAAAGGCAGCTCCTCTGGACACTGCACAGCTCATGCAAGAGTATGGGGTAAAAGGAAAAATGTACATTCTGCCAATCACAGACTCATCATTATTTTAAAACACTCTTAGATGAACAGCTACTGAATGTATTTATATTAATACCACAGCACTCCAGAATGTTTTCTGGTTACAAACATGAGGCTGTGGCAACCCACTGGCAGTAGAGTGGCTGTCAGCATGAGGAAACCAAGGGTCTGATTTTCAAATTCAACCTATTCAATTTGTTATTTTTTTACACATTTGTTACGTGAGGAGGAGACACCTGCATCCAAACAGCAGCTGGGAGATCCAGTGCTGTTTACACCCCAGTGTTGTGATACCATGGTGACATCCACTCCAGAAAAAGGTGGCTAAGGGTGAACCAGGCTTCTCTGGCTTTGGAACCTCCCCTCAGCTGTAATGAGTCACTACATCCCATGTGCTGCCATTTGGAGCCAAATACCATCACTGACTTTGCAGATCTGATACTGCAAAACCAACTCCAAATACTCTCCTTCAAAAGCTTCTCCTAAGGAAAAAACAACAGACCAAAAACAACAGACCAAAACCAAAAAACTTCACAAGGCCAGAATAAAGGATAATCCAAATCCCAAGGGGAAGAATTTGGTGCCTGGAAAACCTTTTCTGCACTGATGATCAGCTTTGCCTTACATGGATCACAGTTTCTTATAGTCCAGGTGAAACACAATTAAACAAATTTATGCACCTGGCCAAAGATTACTGAGCTGAAAGAAACCCTGCTCATTAGCTGAACTGTTTGGTTACACATTTCCTGCCAAGAAGCTGCCCTGCAGATGTGATGAGTCCATGTGCTCTGGATGCCCCATCTCTCCCTGCAGTACTCCCAGATGATCTGAAGGGCTCAGCAA